ACCATTTCTAATTGATGAAATTAGAGATTTTACTTTTTTTCTTAATTAGGTTGGCCAAAGGTTCATCTATTTATTGACCTTTTCAAAAGACCAACTTTTTGATTTATTGATCTGTTGTATAATTCTTTTGTTTTCAATTTCATTTAATTCTGCTCTAATTTTGGTTATTTCATTTCTTCTGCTGGGTTTGGGATTGGAGTGCTCTTCCTTTTCCAGTTCCTTTCCCACTAATTTGTTAACTTCCTCTCTTTCTGTTCTCTTGAGGAAGGCTTGCAAGTGCTATATAAATTTCCTCTTAGGACTACCTTTGCAGTATCCCAGAGGTTCTGGTAACTCATGTCTTCATTATCATTTTGTTCCAAAAATTTGGTAATTTCCTTCTTGATCTCATCTCTGACCCACCTATTATTCAGCATAGGTTTATCTAGCTTCCATGTTTTTGTATGAGTCTGCAGATTCCTGTTGTTACTGAGTTCAACTTTTATTCCATTATGGTCTGAGAAGATGCATGGAATAATTTCTATTCTTTTAAATTTGCTGAGATTAGACTTGTGACTTAAAATGTGGTCAATTTTGGAGTATGTTCCATGGGCTGATGAGAAAATGTGCATTCAGTTTTGTTAGGATGAAATGTACATGTCCATGTTTTCTGTTAAGATGAAATGTAGATGTCCATTAAATCCAAATGTTGAATGGTTAAGTTTAAATCTAAAATTTCTCTGCTAACCTTCTTGTTGGAGGATCTATCCAATACTGCCAATGGAGTATTAAAATGTCCAACTATGATGGAGCTGGGAGAAATCAAATTGCTCATGCCTATTAGAGTATCTCTTATAAATTGAGGTGCATTCTGGTTGGGTGCATAAATATTGATGATTGAAATCTCATCATATTGAGTATTACCCTCAACAAATATAAAGTGACCATCCTCATCCTTGCTTACTTTCATTGGTTTAAAGCCTATTGTATCTGTGAATAGAATTGCAACACCTGCTTTTTTCTGCTTTTCATTTGCCTTGAATATAGTTGGCCATCCCTTCACCCTGAGTCTATATTTATCTTTTAAAGTAAGATGAGATTCTTTTATGCCACAGATATCTGGTCTGAATTTTGGTATCCAGTCAGCCAGGCTGTGCCTCTTTAGAGGACAATTTAAGCTATTCACATTGATCGAATATATTGATAAGCCTGGTAAAATTTTGGATGCTGAGTTTTTCAAAAGTCCAGTGGACATTTTTAATCCTTTCACCATTGTCAAAGTTGGAATTTGATCAAAAGTTTCTGAGTGAGTTTACTTTTGTGGTGGAGGATTGCACTGGTAATTATGGAGGATGGGTCTGAGAATATCCTGGAGAACTGGTTATGGCAAATTTCTTCAACATGTGTATGTCATTAAAGTATTTAATTTCTCCATCATGAATGAAACTCGGTTTTGCTGGATACAGGATCCGGGGTAGAAAGTTATTTTGTTTTAGGAGATTAAAAGTCAATGACCACCTCTTCTAGCCTGAAAGCTTTCAACAGAGAGATCTGCAGTCATTCTAATATTCTTCCCCTTGTAGGGTATGGTTTTCTTACATCTAGCTGCTTTCAGAATTTTCCCTTTCATATTAATTTTAGTGAAGTTAATTATGATGTGCCTGGGGGATCTCTTGTTTGGGTTGAGTCATGCTGGGTTTCTGAAACTGTCTGCTCTCTGCATTTCAGAATCTCTTGGCATGTCTGGAAAGTTCTCTTTCATAATTTCATGAAGAAGAGCCTCTGTATTTTGTAAAGCAACTTCATCACCTTCAGGGATTCCTATAAGGTGAATATTAGTTTTCTTCTAATTATCCCAGAGCTCTCTGAGAGAATGATCCATTTTTGCTCTCCATGTCTCTTCATCTTTGAGCACTTGGGTGCATTCAAAAGCTTTGTCTTTAATGTCAGAGATCCTTTCTTCTGCCTGCTCCATTCTGTTAGCGAGGGATTCTACCATATTTTTCAAATCTGTGAGGGCTACAAACTCTTGACTCAATGTCTCAAAATCTTTGGTCATTTTATCTTTGGAATCATTGAATTCTTGAGACATCTTTTGAATAATGTATTGAAATTCTAGTTCCCTCCTTTCCTCCATTCTGTTAATCTTATTTGCTATCCAGATTCTGAACTCAATTTCTGATATCTCAGCCATCTGTTTATGGATGGGATCTTCAATTGCATTTGCCCCTTCTTTCCTTGGGGGGGGGGTTGATCTACTCTATTTATTCATGTTACCTGAGTTTTTCCACTGATTCCACCCCATGCTGAATTGCCCTGTCCACACCTCTTGAGAAAATGCCCAAGAATCTGGACTCCATGGGGGACAGCCTTCCAGACCTTGAGGTGAGAGTGGAGGGGAGTGCTGGGAGTTCAGAATTGCAGGTAGAGAATATATACAGTTTTATGCAGTTTTATGCCTGGCAGGAGAGTGCCATGACACCCTAGTAGGGGAAGAAGGTCTGGTTTTTAGAGTGTCTCTCCCATGGGATAAAATGGGAGGATGTTTAAACTCTGTTCACTTGTTTGTAGAAAGTATATTTTGAGTTGTTCTCAAGGGGGAGGGGACTCCCGTCTGCTTTGTGATGAATTTTGTACCTTTTGTTTGTATCCTTGGGGTCACAGCTCACCTCAGCAGGGTTTGTGTGTATTCTTCAACCTTCTCTCCTGGCTCAGCTCCAAACCATCAGCTTACTTACTAAACTTCTGTCCTTTAACTGTCCTTCTGGATGAGAGCATCTGTGGAAAGCTGGCTCCAGTCAGCCATCTTGCCTCTACCCCTTCTACTTTTTTGTTTTTTAGACAGAGTCGCACTTTGTCCTTTAGGTAGAGTGCCATGGTGTCATAGCTGAAAGCAACCTCAAACACTTGGGCTCAAATGATCCTCTTGTTTCAGCCTCCTGAGTAGCTGGGACTACAGGCACCTGCCACAATGCCTGGCTATTTTTAGAAATAGGGTCTCAC